GGTTTAATCTGACCGTTACTTTGAGCTTGAGCTTGAGCTTGATCCTGATCCTGACCTTGACCTTGAGCTTGAGCCTGAGCCTAACCCTGAGTCTGAACTTGAACTTTGGCTTTAGGGTTAGCCTTAGCTTTGTCTTATGCTTAACTTTATCTTTACGACGATTATACAGTATCTTTTATGTTGGTCATAAGATGATCTATCTTTAAACTCTAAATTGGCGTTAGCTTTTGGCTTAGCCTTTCTATAAAGAATACATATTTAAGATGTTTATGATGTTATGTTTACATGTTTTTTAAAAGCCACTATTCTTATGACTGATTTACGTAATGTTTTTGTGTTGTTACTTTTCGAAAAATAGGCGTAAATAAGTAGGAGGATAACATACGTCTAGACTTTTTTAGTAAATACGTTTTACTAAAATAACTGTCAAGCTTGGGCAAGGCATAGTTAAGGTTACAAAGGGCTAAAGTTAGGATATTGTAAAGCAAAGGTAGGGATGGGTTAGAAGGCAAGGGTTGGACGAGGGTTTGATGAAAGCTGGGCACGGGTAAGTCAAGAGTAGATTAAAGGCTAAGCATAAGTTTGGAAGGAGTAAAGCTAAGGTAGGGCAAGAGTAGGGTCTGAGAAAGCAAAGGCAGAAATAGGGTAGTGAAAGCGTAAAGCAAGGGTATAAAAAGAGCTGGGCAAGGGTAAGGCAAGATTAAACTAAAGGCTGGGAAACGGTGAGCAAGTTAAAAAAAGGTTTGGCAAGAGTAAGGCCTTAGGGCAAGATTGAAGCAACAGTAGTACAAGGGTAGGGCAAAGTTAAAGCGAGAGTAAAACAAGAGCTGAACAACGGGTGAGCAAGAGCTTAGCAAGAGCTTGGCAAGAGCTTGGCAACGGAATGGCAAGAGCTTGGCAAGGGCTGACCAGGAGTAGGGCAGAAAAAAAGCAAGAGTAGATCAAGGTTAAGACAATTCGAAGGTAACGATGACCAATAGCATAAGATCTATTATAGTTATCTTATAAGGCTGTGTGATTACCTTATGAAACTTTTTTTTAAACCTTATTTAATGCACTTTTCTTCTACTTTGCATGTTTTATAATCGAGAAGTAAAAGAGCAACAAGATTGAGGAATGTTCATTGACCTAATCTTTGAGTTGTCTGTGACTTCATCGTCGTATTGTTTTGTTTTCATATGATTTCAGGCAGTTTATTGACTTTAAATCATCAGTTTTGTCTTTGTTTTTCTTTAAGATACCTTATTATTGATAATTTTTAGTTTTTGGCTGTGTTTTTGGAGTATTTCTATAAAAAATGACCTTATAGTAGGTGTAATTTTGAGTAATATGAGTTTGTTATAGCTTTCTCTTCAAGACGTATTACTTTATCATTGATTTTTCTCTCACCGACTACTTTATCTCTGACATTCCTCTTACCAACTACCTTCTCATTGACATTACTCTTTCCCACCACCTTATCATTGCTATTTACTGTTAAAAAAGGAGTTCCCCAAAAAACCGCTTATGAAATTGACCATGAAACCGGAACAAAGTCCGTCCCTGACTCGTGATCCCCTCAGGCTATAAATATTGGGAAAAAGTCGGAGATCCCTCTCTCTCTCTTTCACATCGCTATGTTGCTGTTCTTATACACGTGGGGTGAAGAACAGCAGAACATACGGTGCTGGTACCTGTCGAGGACGGACTTTGCTTTGTAACAGGTGCTAACTGGGCCGACTCAAGGTACTGTAACATTTTTTGTGTATAGAGGTATAGTTGAGAGTACGAAAGTGTTTGGTTTGGATTGGATGGATTATTGAAAGTACTGTGCTGTATTATTGGTACAGATTATTCATTAGGTCATTGGGCGTACTTTGTCGTATGCTCGGTACAGTACATTAAGTATATACTTATACTTGAGCGCACTGTATTTTTTTGGAAAAGTTGATTTTAACAGTATATAGTTGCTATTCGTAGAATTGGACGACCTTTGAATATACTGTAACATTTTTGAGAGATCAGAAGCTTTACAGGTTAAGGTAGCTTTTTTTCTTTATAAATCCTCGATTTTTGAGAGTACTGTAACTTTTATGGGTTCTTGAGGTCAACTATGAAACAAAAGGTTGGTCAAAGATACTGACACACTTTTTCAGTTTGATACTGTAACACTTTTTTTTAGTTTGAGGGATTTAGACGTTACGGTAGCTTTTCTTCTTTATTTCAACAATTTTTGAGCGTTACTGTAATATTTTTGGAGCTTCAAAGTCAAATATTAGGTACAAAGTTGATTAGAGGTACTGTAACATTTTTTGTGATTTAAAAGTTTTATAAGTTACGGTACTTTTTTTCTTTAATTTAACGGTTTTTAAGATTACTGTAACGTTTAAGAGGTCTTGAGGTAAATTATGAGATAAAAGTTTTCTTGAGGGTACTGTAATATTTCTTACAACAATGTTGACTGAAGGTTTTATATTATATTATAGTACAAATTCATAGTTACTACTACTGTAACACTTTAGAACTGAACAGCTGCTAAAGTCTTTTTTACCGTTGGATACTGTAACATTGTAATCATTTGAAACCGATCTTTCTTTGCAAAAAGAATTTTTAGTGTTTTTATGTTTTCTTCGACATGTGAAAGACCTTCTTCATGATGTATACGGTAATAGTAGTGTAGCGGGATTTTTCCATTTTTCTCGCGAAAAACTGAAAATTCTCTTTTTTGTTTTTATTTCGTTACAATTGGAAGATTTATAGTTATTGCAAGTGATATAGTGATCAGTGTTTGATCTCATTAACCTTGGGGATTGTTTTATGGCTATGGCTTATTATATTTAGTAGGTTTGGCAACATTGCTGAAGCTTTGAGGATTTATGATTAAAATGTTAGCTTGCGTTTTTGAGTTTTAAATTTTAAATATTTGAGTTTTTTGGCATATTTGGCGTTCTGTTTTAAGCAATTTTTCGACTTTCCAGACAAGCAGGCTTACAAATTTAAAAATTTATGTTTATTTAAAGATGTTCTGCTAGTATAGCAAAGAATAATGATAAAAAGTCAACAAATGAGAAAGTTATAAGCTTGAAACGCAATGCCAATTTGGCGCAAAGTTCGAAAAGTTTTTTTTTTAAATTTGGTTTTCTTGAAGTTGATTGGAAAGCGCGATTTAGTACTTTGCTGAATATCTTACACTTACATGATCTTTCTATAAAAAATTTTTACAGTCAATCAAAGCGGGGCAGGTCAAGCGATTTCCTTTTAAGCCTGAGGAGTTTTGGTGGATTTTTGATTTATAATGACTGTACCGAAGACATTGAAAGTTTTCACTATATATTTAAATTTGGCTGTATTTTTTGTTTTTATTCATTTTCACTTTGTAATATTACTATAAAACAGATTCGTACATAGTTTAAAATTGTGCATTTTAAAAGTTTTCTTTCATAAAAAATAGAAGTCCTACACGTTTAAGCTTTTTTTGCAAACTTTTCCATCTTCCAAAACCTACAATTACTTTTATATTACACGTAAAAACGTCGACCCGTTTCGATCGTATGTTTTGCAATTGACACGTCTCGCGATGACGTGAATCACATGCGTTCCAGCTGATTTTTTCTGTCTTTCAATGATATTTCCCAGCTTTAGGCACTTACTGAATGGGAGGGGATTCCATTCTCAACACAAGGTAGGGGTTTTCCCGTACTTGGGCGGTTGTTTTTGGGGGTTCCCTTTGGGGCGGGCAATGGGAAGGGTGGAGACGGGTTGGGGCGTTTAAAGGGGGCTTCCCTGACCTCGAACTAAGGTCAGACTCGTCAATCTGCTCGTCTCTTTCCCATCCAATCAATAAAACCCCGGTTCTTATCGCGTTTTTGATGATAAAGGCTATTTGTGCAAAACTCGATTTGGTTTTGGGGTTTCCCGACTTTGAGTCGAGTTGGCTAGAAACTTTTTGATTATTTACTAAAAATTATTCTTGCAAAGGTATAAGCAAGGTAAAATAAATAAAAAAGATGGGTTTACTAAACTAGGTTAGTCTAACATTATATTAAACCAATCTTGCCTTTAGCTTGAGCTTGAGTGGGGCCTTGAGCTAAACTTTGAGCTTGAAATTCAGCTTAATTCTGAGCTTAAGTCTAAAGCCTGAGCCCGACCGTGAGCTTAATCCTGATTCTGAGCTTGAGCCTAAACCTGCCCTGAGCTTAAGCCTGAACCTGAGCCTGAGCTTGAGCTTGAGCTTGAGCTTGAGCTTGAGTTTGAGCTTGAGCTTGAGCTTGAGCCTGAGCATGAGCATGAGCCTAAGCCTAAGTCTAAGCCTAAGCTTGAGTTTGAGTTTCACTCTGATCTTGACTCTAAGCCTGAGCCTGATCTTGAGCCTTAGCCTTTAAGGTACCTACATAATGTATCTTTTGTATAAAGATCTTCCAGGTTTGTCACAATGTACTTTTTTAGTACTAAATTGTATAAGAAGTAATGAGCTATGTTTCTCATTGCAATTTGGAGTTAAGGGACTAGTATCATAGAATAGGGCCAAACCATGTAGTACAAAATCATTTTTTGCAATTTCTTCTATCTTTACTTCCGCTTTTACTTTACCCTTTAAATTTTAAGACACTACCTAGTAACGGTCGCGACAGACATAATTACTCTGATGTAAAGTGATATTTTGTAAACTATTTCGTATTTCGATCTCTGCTTTTAAACCCGACTTTCAAGAGTTAACCTTATGACTTTTGCGATGAAACCGACCATATTGATTGCTCGTTCAGAGACAGACGGGCAAAGTGTAAATAACTATGTCTATTATTTTACTGGGAGGGGGGGGTGTTTTTTTGTTTTTTTGATGTAATTATCTGATAACACCACCCTTTTTGGTGTGTTTTACATCTTTTTTAATTCGTATTTTATTTTTTTTTAAATTTTTTTTATTTTCGAATTTTGACTTCATATGCTGTTAAAATAGGCTTATTCTTTAAACTTTCAGAACAACTTTTCAAAATTTCTCTCCAACCTAAACCTACATCAAGATGATGATGCGTTCAGCAGTGAAATCGGCCAAAAACTTGTGTCGACCAACCTCATTGGACCTGCTAGCATCTCGCAACATCGCCGGACCAAGCAACTTGGACGAACGTCGTCGTCGGCTGGTCGAAAAGTACAGTATCATCGAGGATCCATTCCAGAAAACTTCGAATTTCGAAGAGAATTGGCGATCCATGAACTTTGCTTCATCTTCACGCGAATTCAGCAAAAACGTCAGAGATATTCGACTGGTCGAAGGGGAAAACATGTTGGTGCGAAATGTCAGAGTATCAGACCGATGGTTCTCGCTACACGAATATCCGACCGGTAAATTCGTCAGGGATCTGTTTGATGCTGAAACGAAAGGGAAAAAGCCGATGAACGCGGCATTTTTGAAGGATGGAAAGAAATTGGCAGTGCATTATGAAAACGACATGGTTGTTGTGTGGGACGTGGCTAGCGGAGAAGTGGCAAGGACTTTCAAGTTCGCCAGGAGTGGTGGGCTGAGGCAAACTCATCGGGCGATCTTCACTGGTGATAAGTAAGTTTTATTTGCCTTAATCTACCCAACTTTGTTTTACCTTTTCTTACCGTAATCTGCTTTGTCTTATCGTATCCTATCTTAAACTACCTTGCTCTATCGTACCGTACCTTGTCCTACTGTTCCCTGCCGTGCCCTATTGTATTTTAATTTTCCCTATTGTAGCCTAGCTTTTCCTATCGTGTCTTACCTTGCCTTGTCGTACCCTACCTTGTCTTATTGTACATTAATTTACTCTACCGTATCCTACATTACCCTACCGTATCCTATCTTGTTCTATTGTACTTTACTTTGTCCTACTGTACCCTTGTTTACCTCATCGTACTTTACTGCACCTTCTTGCATCTTGCCTTGCCTTAACATGCACTACCTTGCTCTACAGTGTCCTACATTTGTTAACTTGTATTCATTGTTACCTTTATGACCATCACTGATCAAAACTTTTTTTCAGAATGCTATGGTGCGTTGGTCGTTCCCGCCTAGAAGTCTATGATTTCAATACCGGAAAACAATGTGCCAGATACGAATGTCACCAACCAATCATTGGAGACATTCGCTTTGACGGCGACCTTCTAGCCTTACATCTAGAAGGTGGACCAGTTCAAATCCTTGACATTAGTGATGGTACTAGACGAGAAGTGCACTTTTTGGGTGACACAACTGCACCAATGGGAGTAACTATTGGGCTTGTCTCGGAATTGGACCAAATTTTTGTTAAAACGGGTCAAAATGTGCATGTACATGACGTTATCACGGGAGAACATTTGGGTACTTGGGACCATCATAGGGGACCATTACCAGCGTGGAACTACTATCATGGACGCATGTTTGGTATCTTTGATCTCAACCAAGTTTTTGTAAGTTTTTTTGGTACTGAATAGTGCTAAATAGTGCTTAAACCTAAAAAAGTTATTGAGTTTTTGCTTTCGATACTAAATTAGGCCTAAAACGGGGCTTACTAGGACCGTATCAGCAATGGACAAGTCTTGGGTTGGGGTGGGTCAATGCAAACATGAAAGGGGTTCGGCTTCACAGTAAAAGTCGGCCAGGAAAAAAAAGTCGGCCAGGGCTGACACATGAGACGTTGAGAGACGGACTTAAACCAAACCTCTAGGGGCTTTACCTAGGTCTCGCAACGAAAACTTTTACTTAATAGACCGAACCCGGCCGAAGCAAATTCAAAAGAGGCTGAGTTTGTATATGGTTAGCCTAAGCCTTTACATAGCATACTAAATAGTTTTTTTATTTTAAAATTACCTTGCCTTACCTTATTGTAACCATTTAACTTTTACAGATTCACCGCTTTAACGGCCATGCTTGGTCCAACTCTCTGCAAACATACGACTTCCCAATCAATCCGGTCGGCTTCATCAACGAACACCTCTTCTTAACCACCACAGCTGAACACAACAACCCATCGAACAAGTCCGTCTTCCAGCTATGGGACATGGACTCGGGTACAGTAATTCGACACATCGATCGGGATTGGAACCGTACTATTGCTTGTACTGTCTCTCCAACTGCGTTGGACTTTGTTACTGCTGATGGTAACGCCGAGAACACGACGTACCATCATTGGGACTTTGATTGTTAATTTACTGTTAGAGACTTATTGTAGGCAATATAGACAACAGTAGGTTGGTTCATACCTACATTATCTTATACATTATAACTACATAAAATTATTTTTTGATTCATACGGGTCTTCGTCTACCACTTTCTACCGTAATCTTCTTTCTTCACACTTAATATTTCACCACTTGTTAACCATTTTTTGTTTTTTTTACTTTACAATTTGAAGACGAGTATTACGTTAATACAATGACAGTAATAATAAATAAGTTACCTAAAAGTGATTGAAGATTTTGTTAATTACCCTACCCTACCCTACCCTACCCTACCCTACCCTACCTTACCCTACCCTACCCTATCCTACCCTAACTTACCCTAATTTTCCCTATCAAAACTTTACTTTGTCCTGTTGTACCCTTCTTTACTTGATGGTACTTTATTTTATCCTACCGTACCCTACATTACCCTATCGTACCCTTACTTGCCTCTTCGGACCTTAACTTGCCCTACTGTACCTCTACCCTAGCCTGAAAAAATAAGCTGAAAAATATACTATTCAGTAAACAATAATAATATACATGCGTAGTAGTACAAAATAATCTATGTACAGTATATTACAGTACTAAGAGTCTGCGTCATTGATAATGATTTTTGTAAGCTTGTAATATTTTATTATCTGGTAAACAATAACAAAACATTAAAAAGTCCACAGTAACTAACCTTTTACTCTTATATATTTTTTAAAAGTTACAGTAATTTTAAAGCAACTGTAAATAACTTTAACGTTAAGCATAAAGGTTACCATTCACAGTAAAAGTTTTACATTTGTTCTAATGCCAATATTTAAAAACGTTTTAAATGATATCACTGTCATATATAATTTTAAAGACCAGTAATGTAACCCTTAACCAAGATATGTACGTGTTCAACTTAATGTCAAGTGTAAATATTTACTATGTTCCAATTGCAGTAATGATACTTTACTGTATAAAAATGATTATATCATAAACTGTAAAGCGATCATATAAACATATCTTAGCTAAAACAAGTATAAACAATATAAGAAATTTTACTGTAGAAAAAAAACAATATACAATCTTTTACTGTAGTAAAAAACGTAAGATACCATGATTTATCGACGTTTATATACAAATAAACTTACTCAAACAACAATTATTGAAAGTTTTACATCTTTAAAGACATACGACTGAGACCTTGGTACAACTGAGACTTTGATATGACTATAATGGTTTGACTTGTATATACTGTTATATTATACTTTACATTATATATTATATGTTACATTATACACAAATAAATTAAAAAGGTATTATAAAAGTAAATAGTTTAGGAAATACGATTGTATATGTATCATAATAATAACTTTCAAACTGTGTTAACACCCCGAGACCATAGTTATTGTAAGTCACAACATACATTGAGAATCATATATTATAGGTTATAATAGAAGTATACGTATATGTTTGATAGTCTTAAAGTCTACTTTTACATTGCATTAAGCTGTTCAAATAATTCTGTGCTCTCCTCAAACTCCAGAAAATTTGCTTTGTGATTGAGCACAGAATTATTTGAGCAACCTAAAACATTTGCTAGTACATAAGATAACCTTAGCGCTAATGTTATACAGTAAAACTAGTGTATAACAAACAAGTTTAAGATCCCCAAGCGATTTGTGATACAGGAGGATTATTGTACATAGTGCGCCAAAAGTTCTGTTGCATAACTTTACCGGTCGTTTTCTCTATTTTGCGGTTAAATTATTTAAAGTTTTTTATTTTAGCTTATTCTTAGTGTTTTCTTATTGTATAATCATAAAAGTTAAGTCTTCATTGTCTGCCGTCTGTCTGTATTTAGATGTCAAACATGACGACTACCGTCATCAAATTAAATATTTGATTAAAATGTAACAAAACTTTTGGCGCATCCTAAAATGTAACAGAACTTTTGGCGCATCTTGTAGTATCAAAAAATTCGTTCTTATTATTCTTATCGATAGTACCGACTTCGTATAAGCCTCATTACTTCCACATCATCATCCGATAACTCGGCTAGTAATTGTTCTAATTCACATTGAAATTCGACGTCCGAACATTCTTCTTCCGAAGCTAAGTTACATACTAACGGTGATAAACCACAGGAGCACGTTTGGTGTGGAACATAATATGGTCGTTGAAGTATTGGCTTGCCGTTTATTGTTAGCTAAAATTTGGTGTTATAATAAAAACAAAAGCAAAAAATGGCTAAGCCTATAATAAGATAAAAGATTAAAATGCAATTAACGTTTTCAATCGATGATGACTAATAAACTTTTATGTTAATGCACTGTGTAGTGATAGACAAAGACTTAAAAGCTGACCGCTATACGGAAATTGTTATACTTTACAGAGAAGCACGTTATACAGGAGTTTACTGTACAATTTTAAAAAGTTATTGTGCAGTAAATACAAAAAGCAAAATCTTAAAAATTTATCATTTACCCTACCTGATAAAACCCATCGTAAACATCCACAGAAACACGACATTCTCGTTCATAGAACTTTACAAAAACTGGTTGATCTTTACGGTCGAATGACACAGTATTTATCTTTATTCGATCCCCAATTAATTCTATCGTAATGGCAAAGGCTCTAAGCGTCTTGAGGTCAACATCTTTTCTTATTGGTCCTGAGGTCAGTACTACGCCGTATAACCTGAAATCCGAGTTTTTTTTTTGAAAATTGTTTAAAAAGCTCAAAATTTCTATAAAATCATTTTAAAATATTTTTTATCAAAAATCTTCAAATCTTTTTAAATTTCCTTTACACTATTGTTTGGGTGTAATTAGTTTGTGACATTTTTGTGCCCGTTCAATCCCCTTCGTCAATACTTTGTAAATCCGACACTAATCCTTTTATTTACCGAACCATACCCACACCCAAAACACGATACAACACAGCCACGCAGCGGCGTCAGAATCCGCCTCTCATCCCGTCGGATTATCCCCAAAAACCAATCCTATAAAAATCAATCCTCAGTAATAGAAAAACTAAGCCTCAGTAACATAAAAACCAATCCACGGTAAGATAAAAACCAATCCGCAATATTATCACATTGTAATGTGAACACGGCTGAGCCGGCTTAACATTCGCTAATATGTTATCTGACATTTCATCAACAAATCCAAAGCGGAAAATGTATTCAACGAAGACAGTGGCCGGGGAGGGGGAAGACAAAAGAGTTTTGGAATATAGCTATAGAAATTTTTTATATTGCATTAATATTTTTTTTTCAAAATTTACGAATTATTGTAGTTTAGCTTAGACGTGAAGTCACGTGGCTAATCCACGGGATATTAATTCGAAAGATTTCGGGATTTTATAGTTTTGTGATAACTAGGAAATTAACGAAATTAATTAAAAAGTTGCGAGATACGTGACTATCGAAAGAGATTTGTAGAATGGTAATCTAGTGTATTACCAGATTGCCATTTTATAAATCAAGTTTTTTAAAGAGATCATTGAAATTGGTTTTATAAGACAAAGGGCCTGGAGTGTAGGGGTGCAGAGTTAGTTGAACAACCTAATAGTAAGCGTAAAGTAGAAAAAGATTGTATAAAAATTACTGCAGCGTTTATAATAACAGCACTGTATGTTTGTGATTACTACCTATTCGACCTAAAAATTAAAGTTTGTTGATAAACCGTACCTGCTGCTAAATCGGAAAAAGTGAAATTTGGGCAATATTAATGGCACATGTGTTACACCGCACAATTCTACCGGCGTTTCTAAGGCACAATGCGAACATGCTTTACAGTCGCACGGTTCGTCACTCCAGTTATCACACAAACATCTCGAACACGTAACATGAACAATATCCTCGCATTCCGAATCCGAGGACTCGATACTAGGTGAAAGAGATCCAGGTCGAGGTAGGAAAACCATGCTTAAGATATAAGGTAGAGGATAAGTCTGAAATGAATACGATTTTTAGTTTTAGGTACGTATGACAATTTAAAGGCAGTAAGTCAATACAAAACTTAAAAACACACGAGAAATATAAATCTAATTTTACAAAGCAATTGTCAGAATGGGATAAGCATTTGTCCCCCAAGTAACAAGGAATGTACCCAAACCTGCCCAGCTCAGAATCAGCTAAAAATTTTTATACGGATTTCTTGTACCACCAATAGTACCCACAAAAAATTTAATCTCGCGTCTTTCAATCGTTTCAGGCCAAAAAAATCTTTTAAAATCAAACCCCCAAAAGCTGAAAATAATAAAATACGTGCTAAGTTTCCAAACACGTTTATATTTAAATCGTAACGTTCGTAATTGTTATGATGCGAGTATAAAGATCTTTTGAAAATTTTGTTTTTCAAAGATAAAAAACAGACTTAAGCCCCTCTGGCTCACAACACGATAGAACGAAGAATAATCTCGCATTTAAAATTTTAAAAAATTTAAAACCGGAAGGATTAGTAATTTGAATATTTCAAAACAACCTTATTAAGAGAGGCAATTTTAAAATCCGAAAAAGTTGTGGTCTGTCAGAAATTGCGACACTGTCTGAATTAAGGATACATAAGGATATACAGTAAAACTTCTGTACAACAAACTTAAGTATACGAAAGTCCTGTATAACAAGCAATTTTTTAATTTCTTGAATAGAGCAGAAATTAAGGGCTTCTAATGCCTGACTAATCAACTTATGCATGTATTAACCACTTACATAACAAATTTGATTAACAATTTCGGCTGTATTAATCAGATTTGTTACTGTGAAACTGTAAATCGTCTAACATCGACTTCTCATTCATATTACAATATGAAATGTTTACCGTTTATAGTACAACGACAATGAAATTTGGTAATTATAGTACTATAGAAATCGTAAAAATAATGAAACTTCCTTGTAAACAATAAGTAACAATAACAAGTCATTTGTATAAACAACAATATTATAAGTTTTGTGTAAAAGGAAGAATACAAATTGTAATTTAAGTTTAAAAAGATGGACCGGAAAGGACCAACATTTTGTTTTTACTACAAGGAGTGTTGTCTTTGAAGAATGATATGTAGTGCAAATTGACTTGGCAGGACCAAATTTCTTGTTCTATATAGATAGTTGCTTATACTGACGGAGACACTAATGTCTAGAGCAAGTACAGGACAAGGAACACATAAGAGTCGAGTAATAGTAAAAAAATGTAAAAGCAAAGGTGGAGCACAAGTAAAGAATGAATGTTCAAATCAAGAGATATTCTCAACGACAACACCTCAATCACTCACTCAACAGAGTACCACATAATACAACCCAAGTGAGCCAAATGTTTTGGGACAGTTCAGAATCCAGAGTAATATAAAATCTCTTACAAACCCGCTCACAAATCGTACTAATTCCAGAAGCTGAGTAGTGAGTAACGTGCTTACATTCCCAACTTCTTGCTTTTGGCTACAATTCCCATTCCCGCCTCTCCTACAATACTACATTCCCATCCGATCCCCTAGATTACTCCGTTCCGATTCCTTCCCCTACAATACTACAAACATAACAGACCGACTACAAAAAACTGTGAGTTTTATTTCACTTTGACTCACTGGGATTAGCCGCGGGGGGCGGAGCTTTAAAAACATACGCAGTCGAATTTCTTGCTTTTTCGCACTTTTGTTTACAAAACAACTACTAGTGTAATCGAGTCTAGTGCATGAATATGACATTTGCACGTTTGATTAGATTGTGGTTTTGTGTTATGAAAAATGTATAAGAGTTAATTTGTATTTGAGTAAGGAAATGATAAGGTAAAAAAACAAGAAATACTTTATGAAATTCTTAAATTAAAAGTACGGTCTTATAACAACTTTTTTCAGGTCAAACAAGTAGTAATCACAAACATAGTCACTTATTGGACATTGGTTTTCTAATTCACAATCAATGGTCTGGGCACAAAGTTTATTCTAGTAGAGCGGAGATCGACACTTGGTCTACATTAGTGTCTGATTGAACGCCAAAAGTTTTATGGCATATCTCATTCATGACTCAGTGACGCAAGAAACAGTAAAATACTTCAGGAAAGACACAAATATGGAAAACGTCAGACAAAAGAATAGCTCTGGCCTTCATCTGAACCTTGAAAATTTTTGCTTATCAGTAGTAAGTTACCACCTACGGCTTCAAATCATCAACTAATCTAACCTATATTTTTCACAAATCCAATTGTAGACGCCTCAAAGATGTAATGTCAACACATATGACAGTTTATAAAACTAATAATGAATATAAAAAGCTAAATGAAAAAAAAGAAAGCGAAATGGCGACACAATGGACTATTGAAAATAACCGCAACATGAATATTTCATGTGTTATTGAGAATGCAGAATAACTCACTATACTACGAGATAATGGATTTCCAAGCCCGTGCTGAATTGAACTTGCACAATAAAAAATTTAAAGACAAAAGCTTAAGCGGCAATTATACAGCTCTATCAACCGCCACAAAATGAAGGGCTTGTTATAGTGTGTGGTAGAACTCAGCGGCAGCGTTGAGGACTTTTTGCAGTGACAAGGTGAAAAGACCGTCAGTGCTTTAATCGTGCTATTTAGCGATGTTTCTCGGCATGATCCTGCTGGGTCAAGCGAAAACAGAGGTGATCAAGTCGCGTCAGTGTAACATGCTTGTACTGTACCACGGGGGGGGGGGGGGTGGGGAGGGGATTTCAACAAAACACCCACCTTGTACTATCTACCGTACACAAGGTTAATCGCTGTTTAACAATACCGCAGCTAGCTTAGTAGTACAATAGCCAGAGTCAACAAACAACGTAATTCATCAGTTATTGTCATACTAAGCCAATACGTAAATGTTATTACAAATATGTTTTTTAACACAGACAATTACACAATTCAAAAATGTCAAAACAAAACCATTATTTTAATTATTGTACTATTGTCATAAATATTATGACCCATTAGTAGGGTAGAATACTATTAAAATACTACCACAACATGCAAAAAATGTAATGCCCGTTAAATACGACAATGCTCTGTTGAATTAAGATTACCACAGCAGGTGTTAAAGTGCCATAAATCAAATTAAATAGTATTATACTAAAAGAGCCAGACAGATTATTTATAATAAACAAATACGCATAACAAATTGTTATGATGTTTGCTGCATTTGATACGTACATATACGTATGGTCATGGCATTTGGCAAGGAAAGGTATATATGCATATAAAGGTAAACTCAAGGTACGTATGCATATTTGTGGAAAGTAAATATAGCATCACGGATGAGCATATACATAACGTAAAATGCAAATTCAGAAATTAACAAACAAGAAGTAGTATTATGTTTCTTTTTTTCAACTCGTTACCGTGGCAAACAACAAGATCTTCCTGGACCAGTAGCCGCGCTTAGACTTCAGTTTTAGCTGGGTACACTCAAAATACAATGGACAGAGAACTAGGTCTAACACGACGTTGCGAGTGGCTGGACTGAGCAATTTAGCAATTTCATACATCTTGACAAGCTTCCATTTCAATCAGAAGCGCTCTACGATGACGATGGACGGCAGAACAAGTATAGAATGAAGAACGTGCTGAACGTAGCTTGACTCCACCACCATCATCATAATCATTCAAGTTTCTACTTGGTACTCTTTTATTATTGTTAGTCCCATCTTCCTCAGTACAACCTTCAGTGAACAAAATAGATAAATAAATATAAACATAAAACACTTTTAAAAACCTATAAGCATCAGTTTTTTTTTTGCAGTATCTAGTACAAAAACGACGTTTTTTTCTTATTTTCCTACAAAATCTGCTTATTCAATGACCGTACGTAGTACTACAACAATCTTTATACTCACTTATCTTGTATTTCCTGTTTTCCAACAACTTTTGACGTTCGTGTTTACATTCTTAGTATAATAGGAATACAAAGCGAAAAAGAATTCGTAAAGATAATCTGCCGGGTTTACCTCGGTCATGTTCAACATAACTGTTTATCTGTTTTACATGAATGATATTGTAGTTGTGTTCAAGAGACAAATTTAGGCTTAGATAAGATTAATCTTATCTTAACCATGTTTAAAATAAAAATATATCTTTGAAGTAACTACTACTACTTTATCTTTGACATGACTACTTTGAATTGACCTTTGGCATAGCTACTGTAAATGATAGCTCAACCATGTTCAAGATAAAGGTTCAATCCTACCATATTTTACATAAATATTTACTTCTGTCATAGATGTTTTCAAGTGTAACTCTACAATTTCCTTGAAGTTATTATACGTTTTCCTTAAAACAATTGCCATTCCCACTCTTTCCGGCATTTCCAAATTCGAGGAAAGGAAAGAGCCGGTTTCCGGATGACCTATCCGTTATTACACTTTGAGTCAAAATAAGACGTAAGACTAACAAGATTATAGTAAAAAATAATGTAAATATGAATCAGAGTACAGTGATAAGTCAAAAAAAGTTTTAAATGATAAAAAAAGAAAATAGAAGAGAGAGAAGAAAAAAAAAGAAAATAGGAGAGAGAGCCATGCCAATCCAAGGCAATTTTGAAAGAGATCAAACCGACAAATGTAGCCTAAGGACTAAAGACTAAACCAAAGGCCGGCCCCGTAGAACATGTCAAGGAAATTGATCATTCTTATTTGGCACATATAGAAAGACCCGCTTTAACCGGACCAAAATCACTTGCCCGATATATACTGAAGGCATTGAGTCCCCCCCCCCCAAACTTAATATTTTAAACTTCCTGTTTCAACTTTATACTGCTTAAACTGCTAACCCTTACTAATCTCATCCTATAACGCCATTTGAAACGAATAGGTTAAATTGTATTCGGTCCGTGGAGATTAATCGCCCATTTCTAAGACCAAATACCAACTATTCGGAAGGAATGCCAAGTAGGCAGGGGTGGGCTTACTTA